CAAACCCGCCTGGGCAACTTGGCGAGACCACATCTCTACAATAAATCAAAAAATTAGCCAGGCGTGGTAGCGTGCGCCTGTAGTTCCAGCTACTTGGAAGGCTGAGGTGGAAGGATCGCCGGAGCCCAGCAGGTCAAGGCTGCGGTGGCCAGGAGCGGCCACTGCACTCCAGTCTGGGTGACAGAGTGAGACTCCAACTCAAAAATAAATAAATAAAATAAAATAAAAAAACAAAAAACAAAAAAATGCTGGCCGGGTGCAGTGTCTCACACTTAAAATCCCAGCACTTTGGGAGCCCGAGGTGAGAGGATTGCCTGAGCCCATGGGTTCGAGATCAGCCTGGGCAACTTGGAGAGACCTCGTCTCTACAATAAATCAAGAAAAATTAGCCAGGCATGGTGGCGTATGCCTGTAGTTCCAACTACTTGGAAGGCTGAAGTGGAAGGATCACATGAGCCCAGCAGCTGGAGGCTGCGGTGGCTGTGAGCGTGCCACCTAGGTGACAGAGTAAGATTCCGACACACACACACAGCTGTTTTCTAAAAGAAAAACAAAATCTCTATAAAATGACAAAATGCTAGCTAGTCTAATTTTTTAAAAAGGTTTTAAAATATATATAAAATTAGGAACATAAAGTAAAAAATATTCCTAAAACAGAAGGTATTAATTACCAGGGAATGCTTTGGACAACTCAAGGCAATGAGTAGGAAAATCTGACAGCTAAAGTTAGTTCCAAAAGATTATAAATTATCTAAATTGAGGAAAGGATAAATCTTTATACCTAAAAACCAATAACTATGAAGGAAATTGAAAAAGTCATCTTCTGGCCTTTAAGGAATGGATGTTTAATATATGTAAGTGCATGACATAATTATTTATTTTTATTTATATAATGTGCATAATCCTCATGTATATGAATAATATAAGGTATTGTTTATTATGCTCATGTTATAAGTTGTATGCAAAGCATAGCACAATCCCCAGTTTTTCCATGAGAAGCACTGATACCCAAGTTGACAAAGACAGAAGATAAAAAGAAAACTATAAGCCAGAAATCTCAGACTTTTTGGTCTCAGAATAGCTTTACACTTTAAAAAATCATTTAGAGTCCTAAAGAGTTTTTGTTCATGTGCGCTATAGTTACCAATATTTATTATGTTAGTAATTAAAGCAGGAATTTTAAAATTAATCTGTTAATTTATTTAAAATAAGATATAATAAAAACATTAGGTACTAAACATAGATAACATGCTTATGAACAAAACTATATTACAAATAACAAAAAATTTTAGTAGGACTGGCATTGTTTTATATTTTTGTAAAACTTTTTTTTTTTTGAGTTGGAGTCTCATTCTGTCATCCAAGCTGGAGTGCAGTGTCATGCTCATGGCCACCACTGCCTTGACCTGCTGGGCCCAGGTGATCCTTCCGCCTCGGCTTTCCAAGTAGCTGGAACTACAGGTGTGTGCTACTATGCCCGGCTAATTTTTTGATTTATTGTAGAAACAAGGTCTCGCCAAGTTGCCCAGGCTGATCTCAAACCCCTAGACTCAGGAAATCCTCTCGCCTCGGTCTCCCAAAGTGCTGGGATTACAGGCTTGAGCCACCGCACCCAGCCTTATAAAACTTTTTAATATCTGACTAAATAGAAGACAGATGGAATTTCCTATCTCCTTTTTAAAAATTTTTTTTTTAGTCTTACTCTGTCATGTCGGTGACCAGCACTGACCAAGGGTGGGTTAGGACCCGCACCGGAGAATCAGGAGACGGCGAGAAGACCACTTGGAGGCAGCTCTTCTGGGAACAGTCTGATCAGGA